GGCCTGTATTACCACCTATATTTGTTTTTACCTTAAAATTATTGTTAGAATTGGGCTTTCGTTTGCATGGTTAATTAAATAATGGAAGAGTCAGACCAAAGAAGGTGATGATGACTAGGAAGAAGAGCCGAAGGTAGGCACTGAACTGTGCAGTGGGAAACTGAGCCTTAGAGATTAAGTGAAGGACTTGAAAATATCACCAAAAAAGACTCTCGAATATATAAAATTACAAAATAAACACTTGAATTAATAAAATTATTGTAAAAACTGGGCCTTAAATATGAATTATAAAATATTGAAGAAAAGTCCAAACTATCCTTTTTTTTTTTTGGTTCTCTTTCTTCCATCTCATCCTCTTCCCAGAAACTCCAAGTGCATACTCACATGCATATATCACCATGTCGGCAAACCGGGTGTCTTTCTTTATCATACCCCTGCATGTAGGCGAAAACTCCTTGGAGTTCTTTGAACCCGAAGTCCTCCTGAACGACGTCGTCTGCTCCGAACCCCTTCCTCCACGCCAAGCATTTCAAGAGCACGCTGACCGAATCTCCCACCATGAAGTACGAAATGCGGCTGCTTCCATCAGAGAAGTGACGAAGCTTTTCTTATTTGGTTTTGGGATTCGTCTAGGAGCTTTGAATGGTGGGTTTTGGAGGGACATAATGGGAGAAGGTGTATTAAGTGAGTAACAGATGGATTGCAAGGGAGAATTATATTAAAAGAAATTAACAACAACTTGAGAAGATCTTATTTTTACGAAACAAAGAATTGGGGGAAAAAAAAAGGATAGGATTGTTCCTCAAGAGAAGGCCTATTCTTATTCTATAAACTATAGTCAACCATTAGCAAGAGTGTAAAATTTGTTTATTTTGCCAATGTGGTTGTGAATGACAAGTCTAGGATAGAAAATAATAAAATCTATTCACAATAACCTAAGTTTTAGCAAAAATTAACATTATCTCCATAATTTAATTGTCAATGACAAATCTAATATAGAAAATAACAAGTGTTGAATAGCTATTCGCAATAATTTAAGTTGACATTATTTTCACAATTTAGTTACCAATGACATATTTAATATGAGAAATAATAAGTGTTGAATTGCTATTCATAATAACTTAAATTTTATAAGAAATTGATATTATTTTCACAATTTAGTTGTCAATGATAAGTCTAGTATGGAAAATAATAAATATTGAAAAGATATTTACATTAGCTTAAGTTTTGTCATAAATTGGCATTATTTTTATAGTATTAAAAAATAGTAAGTGTTGAAAACTATTCACATTAACTTAAACTTGATAAAATTCAAATTATCGAATTATATTTAAACCATGTCAAAAATTAAAATAAAAAATGCACAATTCATACTTCCTAGCCCCTTAAGTTGTCCTTTTTGTGTTGCCCTTGAGGCTAGCTTCAATTGAGGAATCATATTATAATTATAAATAAATTATTATAACACAATATATTATCTATACAGGTGGGTCTCAAATCTAAACGGAGCGCAACAAGAGCTTTTCACAATTCGCGTCCATTTTCTTCTTCTTCTTTTTTTTCCTTCTCGCCTCCTGTAAATCAGAAGGAAATTGATATAAACTACTTTTATTTTCTTTTCTTTATGAAGAAACCCAGCACTGATTATAGCAGTACTCCAGTAGCACCTCAATGCAATGCACTTGTTTTTATCATGCTTGCTGCTGAGTCATACAGAAATGCATTTACGAAGAGGAGAGGAAGAGAAGGAGAGGGGGGGAGGAGAGAATGAGATTTTTAAAAAAAGAAGAAGCAGAAGGGCATTTTTTACTTTTTCTAATATTTTATAATTTATATTTAAGGTCCGACATGTAATAGCAATTTTATTAATTTAAATGTTCATTTTGTAATTTTATATATTTGAGGGTTTTCACTTGCAATTTTTTCTAGGGACTTTGAGATTTGACCATAGATAGTGTAGTTAATTACAACTTAATGCCTAAGTCTTAAGATTGCCCCACCTTTCCCTTTTGCCTTTTCCCTAATGCCTAAGTCTTAAGATTGCCCCACCTTTCCCTTTTGCCTTTTCCCCTTTCCTTTATAAGCAGTGAGATTGATAAAGAAAAAGCATACACAGGAGAAACAGTGGATTCTGAAGCTCTGCTACCAAAATACATGCTGCCTCTCTACCACCAAAGAAAATGCAAATTTTAATTAAGTAAAAACAAAACCTCAGCCACTGGTTTAGTTAATAATGATGAAGGTTAATTCATTAAACTAAACGGTGTATTGAGAAATAAAGGAATGTGGGATCTAATTCTAGCTGTTTAAAAGGGATGATGGATATGGTTAAATAAAATAAACAACGACTCAGATATTGTCTTTACTTAATTAAATGATACATTTTCTTTGATAGTAGAAAGGTAACATGATTTTTAATACAAGAGGTCTAGATCCTCAGACAAACTGGGGTATTCTCATTCCCCCAGTCGAAGACACTGGGTTTGCTGTAATTCTTAATAGCCAAGAAGGACATTTCCGAGCACTTTCTTTCTCATGCACTATTCATTACATGACATGAATGGTAGAATTGTGTGTGTGTGTGTGTGTGTGTGTGTGTTTTGATACAGTTTTAGTATCGTATCTTATAGAATGTGACGTTGGATATTACCAAATTATGTCGATATAATAATTATTTGGAAATCAAGATTAAGTTATCCAATATATTTGTCTTAAAATTAGGGTATTATAATTTTTAATTTATTTAAAATTTCGGTATACTTATTACTATGAATTATTTCTGTTTAACAAGGGAATAAAATAGAGTGAATTAAAAAAAAAACCAATATTCTACTCTAACGCTTCCATCCAAGTTTTTTAACAAATAAATGTGTGCTAATGGTGACTATTTTAATAAAATTAAAGCTAATGTGAAACTAACATTTCTATATATTCTTAGGAAAAAAGAGAAAGAGATCTGTACAATTCTAATAAAATTTAAATAATGTACATATAATTTATTCAGTATTTATCATTTAATAAGCATTGCTAAATGTGAGATAAAACACTGTATATACCAATTACATTTGAATGAATTTCACAATCATGTATGTATATTTACTTTAACGCGGCAAGAGATGTCGTGTCATATGGAGCCAATGGCGTTCAAAGAGAAAGAGAGAGGTTTTGTGGGGAAAGGGTGAGTGGAGTGAGAATAGACAGATGAACAATAATATTCCTGTAATTTTGGCGCCATTAATCAGGTCTTTTTGGTCAATTTCTTGTGCCTCCTTGAGTTGGCTTTATCTAGATCCTTCCTTATCATCCTCGTTATAGAGTAGAAAACTGCACTAACTAGAAATGATAACCAGAAGATAGTTGCTGAGTTGCTCTAAGCAGGTGTGAGTTTGATCTCCTTTCTCTGTTTTTCATGCCTTCTGTTTCCTTTTGTAGAATGTTTCGTAAGTCTTGGACAATCCTGGCACCATCAAGATCGCGATCCCAAGTTAACTACTTCGCTAATATGCCACCCTTCTCACCTAGCTACATCACTAGAATGAGATCCTTCTCATCAGCTCAAAACCAATATTCTAGTGAGCACCTCCTGCCTTTATACATGAATGTGAGCTCTTTTGAGCTAGAAGCAGCGAGATTTAACTCCAGGAATTCCTCAAACCTTTCGAAACAATTCCTCGGCTACTTTCAAGCTGCTCTAACTCTGTTTCAGATTATGTTTCCTCCTCCATCAGGATCATCCCAAGATTTACTTCCTCTGTTTGGAGTCGTCATGGTTGCTGCCTTTGCAGCTTTTCTCTCTGGGAATTTTCTTAGTCAATCTAAGCCAAGGCTTGCAGCTTTAGTTGAGAGAGCTGGGCATTTCTGTTTCACAATGGGTTGTTCTGTGATGATTAAAGCTTTTCTTTCAGGGAGTCTGAACATGAGGGTCACAGGTTGGCTAGCTGGGGCTTGCCCCATGTTAGCCTTCCTCATGTCTTGTCTTGCCTAAAGCCTCCGAGAATGCAGGAGCTTCAAAACCTCTGAACTAAGTAAAATGATCTATTGATTATTGCCATTTTTAGGCAGGTACGTATCATTATACTTGGTAAATGAGATGTTGTGGCTTCTACATTATACAGCCATCTCTATGTGTGATGGCATGTCCTAGGACCATTTATTTTCCCTTCACAATTTAGTGTTTCCTACAGTATCATCTCCAACTTACACAGTTCTTTCTACTTCTATGAGGGATCATCATTTATTTGAAATGGTATTCCACCAGCACAAAATATAGGTGAAAACCTTGCCAAATATTTTGTCATCGTTTCTCAGTCTACCCAAACTTCTATGGTATTGTTTAGCATGAAGCATAGAAAATGAGGGATAGGGATTGAGATTAGGATTAAAAATATTTATTAAAAAAATATTTAGTATGAGAGATTATTTGTTACATTAAGCAAATCTATCTATATGGGATTGAGAAATAGACAGGGAAGTGATATTTCTCAATTCTACCTCCATGGGTTTGCCTAACAAATAATTACTCATATTAAAGACTTTTAATATTTTTTTCAATTACAATCATACTTCCTATCCCTCATTTTACCAAACAGGACCTATATATATATATCCCTATCATCGTTACTCTGACAACAACCTTTTATCCGGCAACTCCAGGAATAAGACCTCAGGCTGTGTTTACGTAACAAACCGTCTACACCCAGAAATTAAACCTCACTAAACTTGGTGTTTTAGGTGGTGAGATTCACTACAGTTTTGAGTGTACGTTGGAATTTCTACACCTGAACACCTTCTCTGAATCATACCCATTAACCTGAACACCTTCTCTGAATCATACCCATTGGTCTATGCGGTAAGAAATTAGCCGTAGATACATATGTCTTTAGAGTCTATGTGACCTGACTATAAATGGTCTATGGCTCTATAGGTCCATAGAAATGGCTTCCTGAGCCAAAGAAATAGCCCAAATGAGGGTCTTTCTTGAATTTGCCTTAGAGGCAATATGTCTATTTATGGCTTGATGCTTTCCGGAAATGGACCATTCACCAGCAACCTCAGTTCGGTTTGGATCACATGAAACACAATACAAGTAAGTCATGTAAACTATTGCCATACATTTCATCAGATATTTTGCTCAATCTCTGCTTGCTGTGGTATAGACTCAAGTAAAATGAACATTTGTTTATTTCTGTACTTACTATTTTAGCTTCCTTTCATACGTGCTGGACATTTCCTAAGATAATTTTTCCCAAGTACATGTTTAATCCTTTTCCCAACCCCATTTACTTCAAATATTTCAAAATTGCAAACAAGTCAGTGTCTCATTCTTGACAAAGTTCTGTTTGCAGCTTGGCGGTTCATCTCTCCTGCAGAAGACACACCAAACTTCTGCATGAAGAACCAGACCTCGACAACACATTTACCACTATGTCACAGACTAAGGTCAGAAGTACCTATTCTTGCAGTAGCAAAAGGTGGAGTCAATTCGTACCAGTGCAAGTATCCAACACACCATTATACCATTATAAGTATCCAACACACCATTTAGGTTTTGCACAACCATGAAACTATTAAGATGGTATCTTAAAATGAAGACAGAGATCTTCCTTCATTACTGAACGGTGCAACAAGAGCGAGAGATAAAGAGATAGATCTTCCTCTCTCTCTCTCAATTACCACACACGGTATAGTTATTGGAGGCAAGTAAATTGTCTACTGTTTCATGTACTAAAGCATAGTAAGTGTGATGTACCTATTAATATACTATGAATATTGTGTAATGTACTCTGTGCTTCTATCGTGTTAATACAAAAATTTATGTTGGAGGGCATCATGGAGAACGTCAAAAGGGTTACTATTCATGTGTCCACTCCAGAGGTGGATTTCTCTGTATTATCCCCTCACACTGCACTTTGAGTGGAGTATTACCTCTAGAATTTATTGTTTTTCTCGAAGCTATATGGTACCAAACCTGTGCAATGATGAAAACTAGGTCAAGCAATTAATCAAGTAATCTGCAATTTCTTGGAAATAAAGAGAACCTGCATGCATTTGGCTTTACATTTTCATGGTCATTTCGCTATAATGTAGAAAAGTGCATTATCTAGGGTTGATGGCAGAAGATAGTTACGCAGTTTTATTAAGTAGGTGTGATCTCCTTTGTTTTGCATGTCTTCTTTCTACTTAAGATTACTGTTGGAGCTGGGTGTTCGTCTATATATATATATATATATATATATATATATATATAATCAAATGGAATTTGCTTCGGATCAAAGGTGATGACTGTGAAGCAGACCCCGATACTCACTGAGTTGTGTAGAGGGTAATTGAGACCAAAAGGAGTTCGATCAAAGATCTTTTTTTTGGACTTCATTGAAATTATGAGAGGCAATAGGATTAAATAAGAATATACGAATATGTCATTCCCTAGCACTTTTCATTTTCAATATGATACCTCTTGGGAACAAGTCCAATGAAGTGGGGACCAAAGGTAAAGTTAAATAGGAACTTTACTGAATTAATTTGAGCTCTTTTTCTCCCCTGGGGTTTCTCCATAGTGAGAGCGCCACTCCTCTCCTTGGTGAGAGCTAATCTCGGAGCTGCATCTCTGTTTTACCGAATTGTTGGGTGTGCGTGAAATGTTAGGGTTTGTGACTTGAAGAAAGTGGCTGCTGTGAGGGATCAATCACGTCACTCGGCAATGGGAAGCACAATTCAGCGGCATCGGCAATGGGAAGTGGAATTGGATCTCCTCCCCCTTGTAGAAGTAACTGGGTATTTAATGCTTGGTTAGAAGTAACTCAGCACTGGGAAGCACAATTTAGAAGCAACTTGGTTAGAGGCGACTGCAATGCTGCTTATTACGCAACTCAAAGTAGTGCACAGCGCAAGAAATCCTATTCTTCAGCTTGAGCTTTGAGGTATGCTTTGTTTGAATCTCCTCCTCCTAGTAGAAGTAACGTAGAATTGGATCTGTTGTTCTTTGTCCGGAATTGATAGAGATCCTTTTAATTGTGCTCTGGGTATATGCAAGAAGAACTGGACCGTGCTGTGACACCGTTATAAAGGGGTGTTTAGATGAAACCAAATCATGATTTAGAGAATAGTTTATGGAGAATAGATTTTGGAGAGAATAAATTTTGTGAAGAATAGATTTTGTGAAAAAATGATTCTAAGAAGTTAGAGTGTTTGGATAGTTGTTATCAAAAACACTTTTTATATATATAAATTACTAAAAAAACATGAGTTAATATGATAATTACATAAAATATATATTTTATGATATATTTTAATTTGAAGGAATAAAATTATTAATAATATATTTTTTACCAACATAATTAATAATACATAAGATAATATAATTAATGAATAATTAATATGTGTATATATATTTATAAGATATAAGATTAATATGTTTATAAAAAATTAATTGGGGGATGTTAAAGTCATATTATTGTTGAGATTTACTCTGACAGGCACAATCATACTCTCCAATTTGAGCCAGAAGCATAATGAATTCACTTTTTCTGAAACCATGGTTTTGGATTCCAAAATCAAAATTGATGCTGTTTGGGTGACATTCTACCCAAACCATGATTTTGCCTCACAAACCATGGTTTTGAGAGTCACCCAAACAGACCCATAGTCTGACTAATTAACTCTCTCCTACTACAGGCAAGTGTTACCACTGAAGATCTTTTAGTTTATTTGGTTTGAATTGGATTGGATAATGCTGTATGTTTTACTGAGATAAGCATTATCTTAAGGAAACAATCAGCTCAGACAAGTCTCCAATACAACATTTAGGTTCACACAACCATGAACCTATGAAAATGGTATATCCTATAACTTTCTTTAAGAAAGAGATATTCTGCATTAGTTCACACAGAAATAAGAGGGAGAGAACAAGGTAGACATCTTCGTCTGTCTAAACTACGAAGCAAGATACTACCTCCGGTCCTTAATATAAGATCCTGTTTGATTTTTATTTTGATCCTAAATATAAGACCCAAATTCATTTTGTCTCTTATATTTATTCAATTTTTTTCGAGATAGTCTTTCCAATAATTATAGTTCTAGTTAATACATTTGATTAGTAATGATATTTTAGGAAAGACAACACCTATTTAGGACAAATAACTAAACTTAACTTATTTTTTTAATCTCTTCAAATTAGTCAACTGATTTTTATAATTAAGACCGGAGGCAGTATATAGTTATGGGAGGCAAGTTAATTGTTTTTATGTTTTTGTGTCATGTACTAAACAAGCTAACAAGAATGCAACTACGGAACATTTGAATCACCTAGTATTGTTTCAGCTGAATCAGAAGTCTAGCAGTGTTAGATCTCAATAGCAGAGGTGCCATCTAAAAAGGTCTCGCATCCTTGATTCGGAATAGTTTGGCCCTTACTGAGTCCTCGAGTTACTAAAGGCTGGCTCAACATGCCGTCTGCTCGCATAGACAAAAAAGGTCTGACGTGACCATTCATATCCAATGAAGATTGGGTTGTGCATTTCTTGCTTGAATTGTTTCGATCAAATTAATACAAAATTTATGTTGCGATTAGTGAAATTCTTCTTTTTGGTTCTCTTGCATGCTTATTTTCATGACGGTTTTTTGTAATTGAACCTTCCTCTTTTTTTTTTTTTTAAAATCAGTAATAGTACCCTTGTGTGCTTTAGATAGAGGGAATTATGGTACATTTTCTTTTCTTAAAACCGAGACATTTCGTATAGATAAATTATCATTTTAGTAAAGGATAGCATTTATGTAAGTGCATGAAGTGTTTGATAATGTGTATCAGGGCTGAATTGGCTTGGAATTAAAGGTGGTGATTGGGAATTGGGAAGAAGATTCCTAATCCGTTTGTTACGGGAGAAATGAAGGGGGAAAAATGGGAGAAAAAATTTTGATGAGTTTAATCTGAAAAATTTAAAACAAAATGGGGTTAAAAACTTTTAACTAATGTTGTTTTATTTTTTTAATCTTATATATTTTCTTTGTCAAAATTTTATAATCTCATTTTAAAATTTTTTTAAATCCAGCCACCCCTCTAATTTTCTCATAGGCTGAAATACACTCTCAGACTGTCCTTATACACCATTGCTTTTCCCCCTTACGTCAGGCATTTATGTCGTTAAATAGTTGCATTTTTGTAATCAAATTTAAACCTTTTTACGTAAAACAAAAAACAAAAGGACTTTTATATCATGTCTGTTATTTTCTTTTTGTGTTTTTAACCTATGTGGAAAAGTGAGATTCTATATAAGCTGTAGGGTCCTCTATAAACTTGTACGGCCTTTTCTAAACTAATATAAAAGGGCTAAAATAAGTAATATGAAAAGTTATATGGTGGGAAATTGAGACTAAAAGAGGTCAACAGAAGATAATGTTCCTGTGTACCATTTAATTTAAGGGAATTTACAACCATTACATTTTATTATGGTGAAACATGGCTGATGTGAGACCAAGCCTGGGTAATGCGTAGTATCTAATCGTGTCTCAGTTAATATTATTTCCAATAAAAAGGTACCTGATAGTAATTAAAAAATAGAAGAAGGAAAAAAAAACCACACTAACGAGATTTATTGGCACCAAAAGATAGTTGCAGAGTTTTACTGAGCAGGTAAGATCTCCTCTCTTTCATTTCTATGCCTTCTTGTTCCTTTTGGAGAATGATTCGTAATTCTTGGACATTTGTAGCACCTTTCTCACGTAACTACATCACTAGAAGGAGATCCTTCATGTCAGCTCACAACCATTATTCTAATAACCACCACTTCCTGCCTCTATATAAGCGAATGTGAGTTCTTTTGAGCTAGAGACACTAAGATTTGACTTAAGAATTCCCCAAGTCTTTGGAAACTATTCATCGACTTGACCTTTCAACCTGCTCTAACTCTGTTTCAGACTATTATGTGTTTTTCCTCCATCTGGGTCATCCCAGCATCCTCTTCCTTTGTTTGGAGCTGCCATAGTTATTGCCTTTGCAGCTTCACTCTCAGGGTATTTTCTAAGTCATTCTAAGCCAAGGCTTGTAGCTAGAGAAGACTGGGTTTTTCTCGGGTTCAATAGGGTTTTTGTGTGAAAACTAAAGGCTGATTTGGAATGAATTATAAGTAGCTTTTTAAATGTGATTTACAGAATACAAAATAAATATACGAGGAGAATTTTGTCTCGATTTATATAAATTTACTTAGAAATACTTTTTCAATAGAGCTTCAAACAAACCCTAAGTCTTTTCTGCTAGGGAGTTTGGTCATGTGGGGCTAGCTGGAGCTTTCCCCATGTTATCCGTAAGCTCCCCTAAACTCAGTTAATTATTAATTAGATCCTCATAGTCATGTACGAACATCCCTTCCTTTTCCTTTTCCTCTCTCTAAAAAGTGAATGAAATTGGAAAGAAAACGCGTAGTATGCAAGACAAAGGTTTTCTCCCCCCAAGGGGAAAAACCAAAAAAAAAAAAAACTCTTGAACATTTTTTAAGAAAAATTGGAGAAAAGTTCTTCATTAAAAATTTTATTGATGAGAAGAACCTAAAACAGAGTACGGGTACTTTGTGTATATAAAATTTGTAGAGTACCTTCACTTTTTTTCTTAAAAAAATTACATTAACACTTGCATCCCACTTTTTTGAAAAAATTGTAGTCATATTAATGGAGATTATGCAATGAAAATGGAAGTTAAATTGAAGTGAAAATAACATTTCTATATTTTTTTAAAAAAAGAGGAAATTAAAAAGGAATATTGCTGGGCTGTTTCTCGGAAGTGTGACAGATACCAAACCTGTGTAAGAGGGAAAGAAAAGTCAGTCAAGCAAACAATCAAGTCTTCTTGATTAATCTCATCCCTCCTTGCATTGGCTTTATATATAGACCTTTCATAATCATATTCGTTGTGGAGTAGAAAACTGCACAACCTAAATCTGTCTACCAGAAGATAGTTTCAGATTTTCATTTAAGCAGCTAAGATCTCCTCCTTTCTCTGGTTTTTCATGCCTTCCTTTTCCTTTTGCAGAATGCTTCGTAATTCTTGGACAATCCTAGCACCATCACCAAGAATGAGACCCTTCAGATCAGCTCATAACCATTATTCTAATGGCCACCTTTTGCCTCTGTATATGAATATGAGTTCTTTTGAGACAGAGACGACGAGATTTGACTCCAAGAATTCCCCAAGCCCCTCGAAGCTACTCATTAGCTTAACCTTCCAGGCTGCTTTAACTCTATTTCAGACTCTGTCTTCTTCTCCATCAGGGTCATTCTTCAGAGAAACAAGTGCATTTTGTGGAACTGCGATGGTTATTGCCTTTGCAGCTTCACTCTCCGGGTATTTCCTGAGTCATTCAAAGCCAAGGCTTGCAGCAATAGTTGAGAAGACTGGGTTTCTCTCTTTTGCAATGGGTTTTTTCGTAATGACCAAGGCTTTTCTGTGGTCATTAAGGTCATAAAAGGGTCTGTGACCAAAACTCCGCCTATGTTTCATAGCCGGTCCCAAGCCCGGATAAAGGAGGAGGGTGGTGTTAGCCCTAGACAGCCAATGTAAAGCTCTATCAAATCTGTATATAACATAGATCAACAAAGTAATTGTTTGAGATGATTCAGTCATGTTCAAAGACAATCGTCCATTCACCCGCAATGTTGGCCCGTTTGGATCACATGATACAAGCAAGTCATGTAAGGTAATGTTACACAATTCCTCATATATTTTGCTTAATCTCTGTGTTACTATGGTACTCCTCCAGTTTTTAATATAAGACTCATTTAACTAATTTGATTCGATTAAGGAAGTTATGTAAATTAGTTAGTCATAAGAAATGTGACACATTTTTTCTAAAATATCATAATCATCTTTTTTAATACCCCATCTCTTTTTTCTACTTGATTATAGTTGATGGAGTATCCATAGGAGTAATTTAGAGAAAATTGATAAATATGAGAAATGGGTCTTATATTTAGGATTAAAACCAACTCAACAATTGGATCATATATTAAAAACTGGAGGAGTATAAATTCGTCAAACATGGCCATCTATTTACTCGTTTATTACACATAAAAGCCTTTCTCTTTACACTAATGATGCTCTACATATCATGGGATATTTTTCCAGAACACATGTTTAATCCTTCTGCCAACCCAATTTTCTTCATGTCTATTAGCATTTCAGACTAGTTAGGGTCTCATTACTGCTTGACACAGTTCTATATGCAGCTTGAAGATTCTCATATATTGTGCAGTATAGAACCAGACCTGGACAACAAATTTACCACCATATGAGATAGCTATTCTCCAGCTTTCAGCAGCAAAAGGAAATATAGTCAATTTTTTTTTTTACTATAAGTAGCCAATGCACCATTTAGGATCACATGACCATGAAACTTGAAATTTGTATCCTGCAACCTTTTTTGAGACAAAGGGAGATCTCTCTCTCTCTCTCTCTCTCTCTCTCTCTCAAGTACTGCACACTGTATAGTTCTCTCAGGAAAGTTAATTGCCTTTTGTGTAACGTACTAAAATACTTCAAGATAAAGATTAGGTTTTGTTGAGCAGTACTGTTAGAATTCTTCGCTTTTCTCGTTTCCAGGAATTATGGTACCAAAACCCCGTCATGATTAAAACTAAATCCGGCATTGAATCAAGTGACCTGAAATTGCTTTGGAAATACTTGGGAGACTAATGACAAAGAGAACCTGCTAGCATTAGAGCTGTGAAGCAGACCCCAAAAGACACACACTAAGATTGTGTTTATGGGAATTAACTGAGACCAAAGGAGTCCAATGAAAGATCTTTTTCTTTGGATGTCATTAAGATCATGAGAGACAACGAGATTAATTAAGGTTCTACGAATTTATCATTAGTTAGGGCAAGTCATTTTCTCGGAAACATGTCTAATAGTGAAGTGGGAACCAAAAGGTGAAGTATGTATAATGGGGAATATATATATCCTTGACTAGAGGAATAAACAGCGTTAACAATTGCCAATTAGTGCATCACATTCACAAGAATACCTCCTCCCTTTTCCGTTTAACTTCCTTTATCTTTGAGAATTATGAAAACGAAAAAGATAAGGTATAGCAAGGACAAAGGGTTACTTCAATGCCGTGTTTGGTATCATGGAAATTGGACAAATTAATGAAGCGTGACTCCTAAGAAAGCGAAAAGGATGCCCCCCTCGTCTCCCCAAAAAAGCACTACAATGTTCATCAGGTAATGTTTGGCACACGGAAAAGTGTTTTTTTTTTTTAAAAAAAAGAGGAAATTAAACTGGAGAAATAACATGTTTACTCAATACTGTACGCGTATTTCTTTAATACGCCAATTGATGACTTATGAATTATGATTCCAGAAGTAGTGCTCAAGTAAACCAAGACAAATCAGTGCCCTGAGAAATTGCTTTGAAACTTACCGAAAGACAAAGAGGTCATATAGCGTAGCCCACCACATCATTTATCTTTACTCTTTTGTTCCTTTTTACTTGACTCGCTTTTCCTCCCAGGGAAAAAAACGTAAAAAGAGAAGGCATTGTGAATAATGGGATAACATGGTTGCTTATTAATGACTTAAAGACTACGCAATTTTTCTACTTTCACTTTCTATTGGTTTTTTTTTTTTTTGAATAGCAAATCACCTAACAATATATGAAGTTACATTGGATTTCGAGTAATTATAACTTGAATCACATATGCTAGGTTAAGTTTCGAATGAAATATCTCATGCTAGAGATACAGCTATATGTTTAAAATTCAAAAAATGAGGATCAATTTAATTTGGAGAGGCCGAGAAGTTAACAAAAGTGTGAGAAAAAGGTCAAGGGGGAAAACAAATAGAATTTGTAGTATTACATTTACAGGATAAATTGTGATTAAAAAGGGACAGTGGGTGGGAAGTAAAATGAAACACGGACCCTGCGCACCCGGGGAATCGAATGCCGCTACACCAGATGAGCCGCTTTCTCTGTCGGTATCAATTTTATTTGAAATAATTATATATCTTAATAAATAGCACTTGGCCCACAATCTCAATCTGTAAGAGCTAGCCTCATTAAAGCCTGCCTTGCCCTTCAAAACCGCGCATCTGGTGTAGTGGTATCATAGTACCCTCCCACGGTACTGACCGGGGTTCGATTCCCCGGATGCGCAATGCTGCTATATTAGCTGCATTTGTTATTTTTGTATTCGACGACCATGATTTACGTGGCACATGTGGTTCCTCCAAGAATTTCTCATTTTATAAATAGGGGGATTGACATCAATTTTCAAAAGTCTGACGTCGGGCTAGTAAACCTGCCCTGAAAAAATCCTGCCAGCTTTAAAGTTCTTTTGTATATGAAACGAAAATTAAGATCAACACCGACAATCTTATGCAGGGACAAGCTTCCATCTTTCCAATTCTTTGGATGACTTTCTTACCTTATTTGAAAATTGAAAAAATGCAGACTCTTGATATGTACAATTCAATTGCAACAATGGATTACTCCAATTCTAAGGCTACATAATTATATGAATATACAATACAATACAGAAGTGAAAGGACTTCACAAAAGCACAAGCAGCAGATTTCTTCAATGATTAAGTCATAAGTCATGACTTAACCATCAAATGTTCTCAGAAAGTGAAAGGTTTCCTTATCAAACAAGAGGATGGCTAAAAAAGAAACCAGTGGCACAATGATTGCCATTGAAAAAAATGTTGAGCTGCTAAATTTTCCAGACTTCTGTGATGGAACGGAACATTCTACTTTACTTTCAGAGCTTGCATCTTCGGATGGCTCACCCCCCTGATTATCGAAACCCAAAAAAAAAAGGCTTTTAAAAGATGCGGGAAGAATAGATAAGATATTGGTAAGTTAAGCATTGGTGAATTCAGGGAAGTATAAGACAATCATGATAAATTTATATAATGGTAATTGTAATTTAATAAAAGCCAGAGCAGGGTCCAGAACGGGACCGCATAAACATGTCAGGCCGAAATGCGTAAAAAAAGTACCTGGAAAATTTGATTTAAAATATCTTCTCCTTCTTCATCAGCAGATTTCGTACAGCTACCATTGCTAGAGTCAATGTTAGAAGCTTGATCTTCACTGCTATTATTTAATCCATTGTGGCAGGAATCTAGAGGGACATCCCTTTTAACATTCTTCAGCTTTTCTTCCAAACTCCTGTTCTCAATTTTTAAAGCACATAACTGCATGAAGCACATACAGCCCCCCAATAAAAGTCCAGTTAGATTTCCCACATTATGGGCCATAGATGAATAACCATACCTAAGTTTACATCATAAAATAAATCTACCAATGCAATGAAATTTACAGTGATTTTCCTTTAGGATTCTGTCTCCCAAGGAAATGCACAAATTCCTTTTCTTATTCCTTCATTCAGAATAAAGTCACTGGGGCAAGTAGTAGCAATAAGTTCCAATATTCATGATTTACTATGAATTTGCTCAATCATAATTTTTTATGGCAATGTTTATGTAAAGCATAATACAAACCAGACGTTAAATTGCCCAAGAAATTATAGGAAGTACGCCATTACCTGTTGATGGACATGTTCCCTTTCAATGGTTAGTTGCATGACCATGTCCATGATAAACTTAGTTCTAACATTGATTTCTTTTGCACTTGAAATTTTTGAGTTGTTAGCTTGGTCCAGAGATGTTTCCAAGCTTTTCATTCTAGATCTCAGGAGATCCAATTCTTTATTTAGTTCTTCATTAGCTTCTGATAACACAATGCATTGCTCTTCTGCACTTTCTGTCGTACTTTCCGCCTTCGATAGCTTTGATCTTAGCTCTTCAATTAACAATTCCATATCCCATATAGCTGAATATAACATGTTCTGCTGTTCTTGACTAGCTTCAGACGATGCTTTTGCATTTTGTAGTTGAATCTCTGATTCCCTCAGCTGGTTTTCAAGTAAACCCACCTTTTTTTCTGCCGTACTAGCACTACCTTTAAGAAAATTCAGCTCTTCAGTAAGTTCGACGTTAGTTTCAGTTAACTGTGTAACCTTCGCTTCTGCACTCTCAGCCCTAGTTTCTGCTGTATAAATGCTTTCTTTCAATGACTCAACAAAATTTTCCATTTCAATAAGATGCTCTTGATTAGTTTCATTCTCAGCAGTTGCAGTAGATAGATGATGTTCAAATTCTATTCGTTCTTCTTCAAGATTTTTCACCTTTTCCCTCAAAGATTGCACTTCAGCATTTTCCTTCATGAGCTCAGCATTAATACGCTCAAGCTTCTCTAAAGAAGAGTCTTTATCCTTGAGTTCTTCTATGCAAGTTTGAAGTTTTGATTTCAACTCATTCTCTCGCTGAACAGAACCATTAAGGTTAAGCTCGGCTATCTGGAGGCGCCCCATCATATCTTTAGAAATCCCCATGAGCATCTCAGCTGCAGTTTCTGCCTCAAGAAATCTTCCCCAAACAAATTCCGCAGCTTCTTCCATGCGCATTGATAATTGTTCCGTGTGGTGTAGTTTCAATTTTAGATCTTCATGTTCTCTTGATTCTGCTAACTTCTTCTCAAGATCTACCTCCCTTACCAAAGACCTCTCAAGCATCCGCAGAATATATCTTCGCTGTTCAACCATCTGATCATCTGATTCTGTTTTTGCACCAGTCAGTTGGCCATTTTCTGACAAATTAATAGCCTTCCCTGTTTCCCCTGTTTACACGGATGTCTCAAAGGGTTAAATAGCTGTCCGAGACCAGGGAACAATTTTTATATCGAACTAATTAAGCAGAAATCAGGAACAAAAATAACTAAGAACCTTCAACTCACAATTCTCATGTTGGAAAGCCTCGAGGGTTTTCTGTAACTTGGATGACTGCATCTTCAATTCCAACAGCTGCTGGTGAAACTCCTTCACGGACTCTTCAGAGTCATGCAAGTTTTCTTCCATTGTGAAGGGAACTTCTTTCAAATCTCTGCATGAAAGTATTTTATGACGAGCATCAACAATTTCTGCTTGGATAATGTCCATGAAATTGTCCAGCTCTCTTACCTCAGAATCTAATATGCCTAACAAAATATCAAATGCAAATGCCTTTTCCATGAAGTCTATTGAGATGCAGTTATTCTCTAAATTCATCGCTTCAAGGTCATTTTCCTGTCTCAACAGATAGATAAAAAGCACATGCAAGTTCATCAGCTTCTCAGAAGAATATGCTAAGCGAAAGTCAACTTCTGTTAAAGCTTGCGTAAAAACATCCAGTTCTTGCACATCATGCTCCTTAGTGGAGGGTTCTTCAATTGAGTAGAGCTTGTCAAAAGCTGCTTCCGAAACATGTAATCCACCTTTAGCTTTATCAGCATACTCATCCATACTTAACCAGTATCTCTTCGTTCTGCCTCGGCCCAAGTACGGTGAAACTGAAATTTCAGTGATGGAAATGAAATAGCCTGACTTTAGGAATGGGTACATTATGTTTTAGTAATTGGTGATTAGTGAGAGTATAGTCCTTCTTATGGATTATTATACAGAGGTTAAGAGTTAGAAAGCATGTCTAACAGTGCTTAAAAAGGACCAAAACACAAATCTCTTCTGCAGTCAAGCAGAGCCTCCACGTTCTTTTTGACTGCGCGAGGTTCTATGGAAAGTATCACATATGAACTTGCATAGAAGAATATTGTCAATCTGTTGGCACATTCCCTGCACTAAAGGACTACTCCTCCATAGATTAAAAGCAATGGACTATAACTTCTGAGCCTTGAAGAGGAAATAGAGGATTCAGAAGATCATGTCTTTCAAAAGAAAGATAAAAGAAGAAATCTAGCTGATTATTTACCGTCCTGTTGGGGAATAGAGAGAGAGAGAGAGAAAGAGAGAGGCATTTGCATGTTCTTTGCTTGGTGACACCATGGCAAAGGAAATGGAGCAAAAGGATGAGACTAACAATCAAACCCAGATTCTAGAGATTGGAAAATTTTCTTTAGTATTATCAAGGAAGATTTTTAAAAGCAAGAATTTTCTTTTGGAGAGGGAGAAAAAAAAAAACTATCCTCGTTAATTTTAGAATCTCAGGTTACTCTTTTTCTTCAGTTTTCTTCCTTTACCCATTCCTCCCTCTTACGGACATCGCAAAAAAGATTTTTGGTTACAGACAAAAGATTTAATCATTTCAATAATTTGGACGTTCAAATCCTTTAGCAACTCAATGTTTGAATTATCTCTTCCAATTCTCTCTCTTAAAATCTCATATCCGAAACACAAGAAACAATAATCCCATTTTGGAGGGAAAAAGTCCTACTATCACCTCTTCAATATCTTCAAATATACAATGAATCACCCCTGATAAGCTAAGTCTTCTGCAGTTCATTTCAGATTGCACTAAAATGAGCCACCCACAAAACACATTGCCAATTCTGATTCTATTAAAGAAGCATCCATCCACAGACTTAACTTTCTTGATGGCTACAACCAAACAAGATTCTGAATTTTCTAAATATCCCCAGTCCTTAAAAAAGCACTGATAGATGAAAAACCAGAAACCAGAAGCTAGAAACTCAGAAACCATAAGATCTGCATAGAAGTTTCCCAGAACATTAGGATTTAACGAATTAAAACAAAATTTTCCCCAGAGCCGCCCCCAAGCCAACAGGGAATTCCCAGAATTCTCAAAAAAGAGGGGGCGAAAAAACAAAGCCAAGACTTCAGAATTCCAAATTCTAAATGAAAAGACGAAACAAGAAGCACGTTTGTTCCCATTCCTACCCATGATGCATCACAAGAAGAGAGTTTCAGAAAGTACGCGAAATTCGAATTCTTGATGAGTTCTCAGAGAATTGTCTTACCTTGCTCTGGATGTTCCTAGCAGTTCATCAGAGGAATCAACTTGGAGCTTGACTATTCAGAAACCCCCCAGAAAACTTCTGGGATACTCTATCTGGTCGTCTCAGCAAGTCCCTGTTAACTACCACTCATTATATATTACCGTTATTTGAAGGAACTCAACTCCAATCTCATAAAAGGGGAAAAAAGCCCAACCAAAAAAAAAAAGTCTTTTTCCTGGTGACGCTCTCCGTGATTCAAGTGGGGTGGCTAAGTCTAACGTGGGCTGGTGGGAGGAAACTGGCCAAAAAGGTCATCTTGATAAGTGCTAAGGAGCGTAGAGTGATGAACACAATGTGAGAGGTCGGTGTGGGCGCACGTTAGCATTATGAACATGATTTTCTGACTTCAATAATTGACGAGCATACGAAACACGACAAAGATCATCTGCCAATGGTACTGCTCTGATGGTAGGCGCAGGAGTCGTTGGGTTTCTGCTATTCTGGAAGAGAGTTTTTTTTTTTTTTAAGTTTACTTTTTCTTTTTTATTAGAAAAGTAAAAATGTCTTTTTCTACGTGGAATTTTACCAGCAACTCAGCAAGCCCAACGTAAGAGTCACGATGGTTCAACCAATCAACCCCCCTCCAAACGAATAGTCGCGATGTATATCAGCGTCTTGGGTATGATGATGTTGTGACAGTCCAGTTAAACATCATAGATTCATATGTCGATATTTTTTTAAAATATTACGTGAATTACATGAATATGATCAAAATCGATAATTGCATTTTAAATCTTAGATATGAGCTCATCATATTATAACTGTTTTTTTGGGCAGCAGTCGATTATATTATAATTTAAGGGTGAGAGTGGTTGCGATTGCAAAGTACCTTTTTTATATTAAAAAAAAAATTCCTCCGATACAATTTTCCTAAATATTGCTTCTGGTTGTATTTATAAGACCTTATTAATAAACTATAAACAAAATCTTATAATTAGAACCAAAAGTGATATATCGTTGTGTCTGTTATATTTATTTATTTTTTAAAATAGTATTATAAATATTAAAGAATTTTCATTCCACAAGATCAACAAAAACATTTTTAAAAAAATAAAACTCATTTATTACAAATAATTAACTTAACTAATTTTTTTAATATTCACGAATTAATTATCTAACTTTTAACTCCTATGTTAAATATAGAAGGTAGTATTAACCTTTTTTTTTTTTGCCAATGAAATACTATTAACTTCTAACTACAACGTTTTTCAGAGAAATTAAAAGGGGAATATGCGCAGGAGAAAAAATAACTATAAAATACCATATGAAAATAAAAAAGACAAAATAAACATCTGAGTAAGCAAAATGACCAAGTAGGCATGAGGTATTAATCTAAAATTTTCAATTTTGGTGTAAAGATTGAAATGCCCGTAGAGTGAGAGAAAAAGAAGCTAAAACTGAAAAGAAAATAAACAGAGGAAAACATTGATGAAACACGTGAAAAAGGAAAAAGAAATGTGAGAGGTAAGTTTAAGTTGATAGTCTTTGGAAATGCTATTATCTTACTCCTTTGCATCACCATTCTGTAGACATGGTTGATTTGGTAAGTTTTGGTTGTGGGTAAGAGGGTTTGTAGTAAGAGAGGGAGTGAACCTGTGGCATTATATAAGTGAGTAGAAGTTAATGGTGGGGTTTGAGTTATTCATTTTTGTAGCTGCTTCATGATGAAATAGGGACAGTATTATTGGGTTTAAGGGTTTATATTCAGTATTTGGTGAATGATGTAGCAGAAATTAGAAAATGGTGGCAAGCAATTACGTAATGTAATTGCTGTCATATGCTTGCTATGTGAATGGTACACTTTATTACACATGTAATTAACTATTAAAGTTAATGGTTCAATATTTATTGTGATGTTTTTCAGGTGTACATCCACTAAATGATTTATTTATGTTTACAAGTTGCTCATTCCCTGAACACAGGTTGCAAAATCTATTGAAGAAATAGTCACTTTCACTATGAAAGTTGTAAATCCCACTACACGTTTTGTAAAATTTAGCGTAGAATTTTATTGGTGGTCAGAAACGGGTTGATGATCCCCAAAAATAGGTTGCAAAACCCATTAACAAAACAATTACTTTCACTACGAACGTTATAAATCCCAGTATGTATTTTGTAAAATTTAACGTAAAATTTTATTAGTTTTTACAAACAAGTTGTCCACCCTAAAAATAGGTTGCAAAACCCATTAAAGAAGTGGTCATTTTCATTATAAAAGTTATAAATCCCATTATGTTTTGTAAAATTCAGCATAGAATTTTATTAGTTTTTAGAAAGAAGTTGCATATTCCCTAAAAACAGTTTACAAGACCCATTGAAAAAATGGTTATTTTCACTACAAAAGTTATAAATCCCATTATGTATTTTATAAAATTCAGCGTGGGATTTTATTGGTTTTTAAAAACAAGTTGCCTATCCTCTGAAAACAGGTTACAAAACCCGTTGAAGAAGTGATCATTTTACTATGAAAATTGTAAATCCCACTATATGTTTTGTAAAACTCAGCATGAAATTTTATTGATTGTTAGAAACAAGTTGCTTATCCCCTAAAAACATGTTGCAAAACCCATTGAAGAAGTGGATATTTTCACTATGAAAGTTGTAAATCCCACTGTGTGTTTTGTAAAATTCAGCGTAGAATTTTATTGGTTTTTAAAAACGAGTTGCTCATCTCCTGAAAACAGGTTACAAAACCCATTAACAAAGTGGTCACTTTCACTATGAAATTTGTAAATCCCAATATGTATTTTGTAAAATTCAAGACACATGGTTTTTATAATACTAGGAAATCAGGCAGTTTCACATTTTCTGAAAACAGTTTTATGTGAAGAACAGAGACGGAACCAGAAAGAGGAATACTAGACAATAACATTTTAAGCTTTGAAGACTCATCAAAAATACTCTATGAAGAACAATATTCAAGCTTCCTACCTGTTTATCACAGTTGGCATTACTTCAACGGCCTCCTCGACAGCGGCAACCTCAGGGAGTACAAGTTATTTCAGACAAAGCAATGTACTTCAAAAATAATTAGGACATTTCAATCGTTACACCAAAAGTACAAATTTCATATTAGTACTTCATGCTCATTTAGTCATTTTGCTTATTTAGATGCTTGTTTTGTTTTTTTTATTTTCATATGGTATTTTGTGGTCATTTTTCCTAACTAATAAGTGTTTTCTAATAAAATTTTCCACCAAATGGATAAGTTATTTTAAGATAAGATTTTTTTGGCGAAAATCACGACAATTTAACATGTTTGCGTACATATTGTTATGCTTTTAAATTGCTGTAACATTGCCATGTTATAACTGAATTAATGTGGATATTTTAGCGGACTACGTTGATACGAAAATTATCTCCTAAACACGTCAAAATAGTTTATTCTTAAGAAAAAAATTAGGATTAATATAATCTTTGCTCTTTTAATTTTGTCCTTATTTTGGTTTTAGTCCTTTAAATTTTAAATCACATGTTTTGGTCTCTCAAGAAGCAATATAATCTAAATTTTTATTGAGTTATAAAGATCAATATTTTAAATAAAAAAAAGACTTGAGTTATCAAAATCTATAATTTGAAAATTGATGGACCAAAAACAAAGTAAAGGCAAACTGAAAAAAATTATATTAACCCAAAAAATTATATTTATTCATTATCTTCAATGATGACTTGTTGTTTTTCCAATATCATCATTCAAGAAACAAACTCGTACGTATATCAACTCAACACACACAGTGAATTGCATAAAATTTAAATAAAATGAGCTAACAATTTCAATTAAATTATATATATCTCAATTATTAATTGTTATAGGAGTATAATTTTTATATAAAGTCAATGATTATGGATGTTTATTCATATATATTACTTTAAACTGCCAAATTATTTATTTGTAATATATTTTCTTAATTCTTGATATAATAACTGCTTAACTAATTTGGGTATATTAAGAAAGTCAAATAGATTAGTTTGATTATAACAAATGTAAGCATGATCTCCCTAAAATACATCTATATAACATTAGATTATATATTAATTTACAAGCTAAATAACTTAGTTTGAAAAATAATAAATGTGAGAAATAAAATACATTAAATTATTATACTTCCTCCGATTCTTAATTAATAAGACTCAATTGACTAATTTAGAGAGATTAAAAAAATTACTAAATTACTTAATTATATAATATATTACATGATCTTTCTAAACTACTTATATGTATCATTAGGTTATATATTAATTTATAAGCGAGGCAAATTAGTTTAGAAAATAATGATAAATATAAATATTTTAAAGTAATTTAATAACTTTTTTAATCTTCTTAAATTAGTCAGTTAGTATTTATTAAAGACTAGGATAGTATTTAGTACTCCTCATATTTTAAATATAAGACCCTTTTTGTTATGTAATTTACACTGAAAAAGAGATCTTATATTTAGGATCGGAAGAATATTAAATTTGACCTCCAACTAATTCTTATTAATAGACTCAGTGTGGATATAAGAGTAAATAAGACATTTTTCACTCTGGGACCCTTTTTGTCTGCATAATTTGTGAGTTTGGCCCCAAATGCGTCCATACATATCGGTCACATTCTCAATAGCTTTCAGATTTGAATGCTTCAAGCTGGCAACATATAATAATGATAGTCCCTTTTTGGCGATAAAATATGCTTCAACTTGAGAGTTACAACTTTGAACTTTGAAGTCAATTATTCACAGCTGCAAAAAAATGAACTAATATAGTTGACAATAATAGGGAATAGTTATTTCTGATAGTTTCAGATCAGTATACTTTTTTTTAGAAACAAAACACGATAAAATTGTATTTTAATTTTCTTCAAACCAAAAAAAAATAGCAGTAAAATTATAATTTTATGTTTTTCTAATAACAATTATAATAAATAATAATTGATTATAAATTATATATATTTTTTGTATACAAAAGTTTAGGTGATTTGGGTTTCAGGAACTCACCAGGGCTACGGCATGCTTCCAGACTCAAAGAGTACTTAAGATCAGTAGAATTTGAACTCACGACTTTGTGAGTTATGAGTTAATTCTTTACTGGATCAACTCTTATTAGTGATTATAAAATATGTTATAGAGACAAGCAATAAAACTTATGGCATGACGTTTTTTGTCCTAGGGCACACGCCCACTTACTCTCGGAAAGTTCTTCGGGTCAGGGTTGCAAACATTTCCCTCCCTGTAAAGGAATAAGTAAACCCAAAAAAACAGTGTTTGGGCTCGGCCCAATAGCACCATCCCAAGTTATTTAAGGCCTGGCCTCTTATCTGTTCGCTGGCGTTCAGCACGTCTCTCCCCATCTCTCGTGTATTCTATAGCATTATTTATTAAAAATTGAAACTGAATTGTATTGTGTTTGAAAATATGGTAACTTACTGACATGAAAATTTCCTTATGAAGAAGAGGTCATGTCGGGTTCAATCCTACCTGTTATCTCATAAGTGTCTACCCTTTTAATTTTTTTAAAAGTATTTTTTTAATAAAATTTTAAGTAAAAGGTTATGCTGACCAACAAGCCAAAAACAATAAAACTAGCCAATCAAACACAATGCAATCGCCCCATTTGGAGTATTGGCATGCTTAAGTCATTAGCTAAATCAGATGGAAATTAGCTCCAAATTACAGGGTTCACTTGGTTGTGAATATAAGCTTGTGATATTTTTAGGAATTGAATCACGTCTCTTTGGTGAGAGTGTTCAACTCCCGACGGTTAAATTCATTATGTGGTGAGTGAAAAAAGAAAAAATACACCTGCATTAATGCGCTAGATTTCATCAAAACTCCACATTTAAACATTCTTGAATGATAATCGTACTAAAATGGATTCTCTCTTAAAAAGTCTTGTATTGCATTTTCTTTTAAAGATGTTTAAGTGAAGTGAAAACCACGTTTTGATTTGGGTTTTATGTTACGTATTGACCTTTTGTCAACATGTTTCCGAAATGCATTTGCTCGGGAGCTGAAGGTGATTTGGATCCAGTTCACTGGAGTTTTGATCTGACTACATCTGGATTCGACCTGCGTTGTACACCTGGCTGTGGTGGGTGAGTCTCCCAACGAGGATTTCTGCACACGCTGAGTCTCGAACTCAAGACCTCGCTTAAACGGTATCAAGCTACTTACTATTTGGACCAATCCCCGTTGGTATCCTTTTATGTGATTTGTCAAAACTCCCCGGCAGCATCCTTAAATTTAAGTAGTGTTATCTGCTGACAAACCCGCGAGAACCGCATTGCCTTTTGTTCGCTCTCCATCATGGGTTTCTTATCTTACCCGAGTTTGGATTGGCCCTAAAATACAAAATCAGGATCGCTTCCGTTCAAAGCTTGGCCTGCCTTAGCCCTGAAATATTTATATGCAACAAAATGTCGTAAGTGAATCAACAGGAGATTCACTGAAAAAAAACTAGTTTTTTATAATATAATAAATTGAGGTTCAAATTCTTTTTGAAAGAGACGTGGATATTTAGTATCTGATAGTGACTTAATAAAATTGTTTCTAATAAAATGATACCCATGAATAGCAAAAAATAAAAATAAAAATTATCGTAAGTTATGGAAACTCTGTTACTTAAACAAGTGGTTGAGAATTTGAATTTCAACTCATATATACATATATATATATATATATATATGTAGGGTCTATTTTTTGTCATCAATATCAAGAGAGATAATCTTTGTTATCG